ACTCTAAAACATGCGGCAAAAGCAGATAGTACCATATCCAGTGCTAAGTGCTAACGTGGAAACAAAACGGTCAAATACTATCATGAATGCTGCCAAATCTTTTTTTAAAGGCTTTCATGGCTAGTTTTATTAACATCAAATAATAGTTATCTTCGATGCAAAAAAAAAACACATCAAATAATAGTTACATCGTCTGCTAAAAAGCTAGAGATAAAATCAGAGGAGCGTCTAGCCACACCGCCGGTGGATCAACACAACCCTGATGTGCTAGCACATGAGCTACCAAATTAGACTCTATTGCAATGCTCAATAAAAACCTTCCCAAACTCTTTTCAAACCGTTATGAATATTATCTTGGCCGCTAAGGACCGAATTTGTAAACCGCCCGCATTCATCCGGACGTGATTTTCCATCCAATGCGGTACCCTACAAACTAGAGGGGCTTTGCGGGCGTCTGAACCGCTGTCACGGATGCATCAGATACCCTAGGCCCACCCGAAAACTTCTCCGTGTCAGCGACCTCTCCCGCGCGAAGCGGTTGCCGCGCATTCATGACGTTAAGCCTCACTCAGAGCGCCAGCGTAGCATTCATGACGACATTTAACAGGCGTGTCGTGCCCGGTCTCCGCGGCTGTTCAATGTCGAAGCAACGAGACTGGTCGGGACGGGACGACTATCTACCGCATTCCAAAGGGGCCGCCTGTTCGTTCGTCTTTCAACATTAAACAAGGCGCACCGGCGAAGAAACCCACTTGGGTGCCCTTATTCAAACACTCATCGCTTGGTCCGACGGGTGCCTGCTATTTATACCTGACCACGTCGGTCACACCACCTCTGCTCGTATTCCTCCTCACTGCACCACCTTCACCATGACAGCGAGCTCTAGCGCATTGTGGGCTAGTCTCACAATAAAGCAAAATCACGAAATAGTCGCCCTTGCGGCCGGCTGGCAGGGCCACTGTATGCGGCAGATAGAGGCCGACATGCCGGGGAGCTCGTCTAAGGTCTCCGGTGATGGCCCGACGATTGAGGAGGCCTCTGGCGATGAGCCAGAACACCTACCCGCGCCGGTCCATGCCGACTTCACCATGGAGCAGGCGCAGACGCACTTCAATGCCGTCATGGGGGAGGTGCAGCCGGCGCCGCAACCGGTGTCAGCGTTCTGGCAGGCGCAGGAGGACCAGCGCTACAACCTCAACCTCCTCGCGCATCATCAGCTGGCGGAGCGCCAGATCTATGATGAGTTCACGAGCGAGGAGGCCATGACGGAAGACCCGAACTTCACGAGGAGTAGCAGGCGCTCTATGAGGCACCGCACAGCACCCGTGTGTTGCGTCGGCCTCGGATGCCCAAGCACCCGCAACCACATGCGCCGGCAATTGCGTGTCATTCATGCCAACAACTATTCCTCATTGGCGCCGAGTCGACCTAGCTGCTTCGACCACGAAGCCGGCTCGTCCACGTTCATCGTCAAACTCACCTCCACTCCGACAAGGAGTAGGGCATGGAATCCATGTCCCATGTTTTACTCTTCCTTGCCAGTGACAGCAGCTTCACTTCCCGTGGCTCACGGCCGTCAGACAGGGACACAAAGGGGAACAATAAGGACTTGGAGGCCGACGGATGCTTGCTCATGGCCGGTGAAGATTTAGACTAGTTAACCTTCGGACGCTTTTGTTTAGTTAAAATATGTAGAAAAAATAAGACGCTTTTGTTTAGTTAAAATATGTTAAAAAAATAAGTAATGAATTCAGTCTAGTTTAAATGAAAATCGTCTGGTTACATGAATATCATCCAATTTGTTCAAATCAGTTTTGAAATGTCATACGTGTATATGATTAAATGGTCGACTCACGCATCAGTGTCCGCAAACAGTCTGCGCACAAATACAGTATCGGTTTTGAGAGTCAGCGTTGGTCAATGATGGAACAATCTGATGAATAGTTCCGTTTCAAGGATGAACCTCCCATATTATTATCAAAATAATCATTCCGCACAAAAAGGAAGGAAAATGGTTGCGTGAAATTACATATGCACACGAATCAATCAGGAGGGCCACACGTTTTCAATCCGCGTCAGTTCAAGGCTTGATGCATGCCAGCAATTAGCCGCAGCCCACTAACGTTGACAGCAACAGTTTCGTCAGTAGCACCGCGAGAACGGGCGCGTGCTCCTCACACCAGGTTCGAGCCACCATCGCCGGGTCCTGCTGGTATCGGCACGTCCTCGACGTGCAACGGCTTCTTGTAGAGCTGGAGCAGCAGCGACGAGCAGACGACGCTCACCGACGAGGCCGCCATGCAGGCTCCGGCGAGCCAGGGAGGTAGCCGGATGCCCGTGAAAGGGAACAGGACGCCAGCGGCGATCGGCATGCCCAGGACGTTGTAGCCCAGGGCCCAGACGTAGTTGAGCCGGATCTTGGCGAGGGTCTTCCGCGAGAGGTCGATGGCGGTGATCACGTCCACCAGGCTGCTCTTCATCAGGACGATGTCGGCAGCCTCGATGGCCACGTCCGTGCCCGCGCCGATGGCCATGCCCACGTCCGCTGCGGCCAGGGCCGGCGAGTCGTTTACCCCGTCGCCCACCATCGCCACCGCCAGTCCTTGCGTCTGTGCGGGAATGGAGTAAGCAGGAATGCAGAATGTAATGCCAGGTATATATCCCTGCAGAGAAGGGAAAAGGCTGTACCTGCAAGTCCTTGATTTTCTCGGCTTTTCCAACTGGGTCGATCTCAGCAAATACGGTGCTGATCCCGACTTGCTTTGCTATGGATTTGGCTGTAGCCCAGTTGTCGCCAGTCACCATGATGCTTGTGATGCCCATTGAGCTAAGGTGTGAAATGACACGCCCTGCCTCAGGCTTCAGAGGATCCGACACGGCAAGAGCTCCGCAGATAACCCTATCGATAGCAACAAGCACACAGGTCCTCGCAAGATCCTCCATTTCAGACATGTATTCCTCCACTTCAGAGCTCATCGGAGCTTCAAATTCTTGCATGAGCCTTTTGTTCCCAACCAAAACCAGCTTGCCTTCAACATTCGCGCTGACCCCCGCCCCTGGATGCACCTCAAAATCTTTGGAATCCATCATATGATCACTCGGAGATCCATATTGTTCTCTGAGCTTCTTTGTGTATTCAACAATAGCCTTTGATAGAGGATGCTCACTGTTTGCCTGACAAAGTCACAATTTTTCAAGTTAGAGGAAATTAGAGCCAAACCCCCCAAAAAAGGAGAAAAAACCAACCTCAGCACTGGCAGTTAAATCACACAATTCTAGAAGTGGTATCTTGGAGAAGGTCTTTGTTTGAACAACAGAAGGTTTACCCTTAGTCAGGGTTCCAGTTTTATCAAATATGATAGTTTTAATCTGCAAACAGAGAGATCAAAACGGTAGTCCAGTGTGTGTTAGAATACCACAGTAGAACTTATATGGAGAAGAAAAACATACTCCTTACACTGGAGTCTGTATCGCACGAGCACACACACACACACACACATAAGCTAGCACAAAAAGTCTCAAGATTACCTTGTGAGCTTTCTCAAGTGCGTTGCCACCTTTGATAAGAACACCTAGAGAAGCACCTTTTCCAGTAGCAACCATAACAGCAGTTGGGGTAGCTAATCCCAGAGCACACGGGCATGCAACGACTAGGACAGATATTCCAAACTGCAGAGCAAGCTCAAAACTATCCATTGCCTTTGGAATCCACTGCTGAGGGTAGAGGTGAAGTTGCCCGGGTATGAACCAGCCAAGCCATGTAAGAAATGCAGCCACCACAACCTTAAAACGTGAAGAAACAATCAATATGAGACAGGTTTTCTCTCAAGAGATGACCTGACAGCAAGATAATACTGAAACATTTGCACGTATCAAGCAGGGTATGATTTCCCACAATGAACCTATTGTTTACTGCTGGAAAACTAATCGGCACGGAAAAGAACAGAGTTAAACTAGCTAGTTTACCAAATCAAATGAATAAATTTGATCTTGACAAGTTCACTACCGGAGTATACAGTAGAACCCGGGTAGCCGGTAGCACATACGCCGAGTCTGGGCTGACTACTCATACTGACCATGTACATAACGTTTGCATAACTTTGATACCAACAAACTACTACTGTAACCAATTATGAACCACATGAGTAGGCAGGCAGTTTCTGACCATGCTCTGATTATGCAAAAGACGATGCAGAGCAACATAGCAGGAGAAAAAAAAACAGATAACTTACAGTTGGAACAAAAAACCGTGAAATCTTGTCTGCCAACCGCTGTACTGGAGCTCTTGCAAGTTGAGCAGCTTCAACTAGCTGGACTATCTGTGATAGAGCCGTCTCTGACCCAACATGGGTGGCCTTAACAATTATGAAACCGTTATCGTTTACAGTACCACCAATAACCTTTAAAAAGGATAATTGAAGCATCAGGGCAGTACATGATAAATAACACCAGATAAGGCAATCAGAATCCAAAAATACCAACCTTGTCTCCT